ATATTCAGAAGTATTTCTTACAGTTGCACATCTGTTCATATGCAGTTATTGATTTCTCTTGATGCATATTTAAGTCTATGGAAGCACTGTGTATTTTTCTTCTTACAATTTCCTGTTTCTTAGCTAATGAGCATTGCCATGATGTAGTGAATATGCTCCTTCCTTTTCTTTTTCTCTCTTAGTTTTAGTTTTTCATCATTTATTTTATTTGAATACCCTACAGTCGTGAATTTACTCATCGTGTGAAGTCTGTATCGATGTCAAAGTTTACTTCTCAAGAAGTTGAAGTACTTCAAACTGGTGGTAATCAGGTAATATTAATGCCTAACTTCCATTTTTTTCTTTTTATGGAATGGTTCTCTTTGTTGCTTATGAGAATTTTCCATTTTCAGCGTGCCCGAGAAATATATTTGACAAACTGGGACTATCAACGGCAGAGACTTCCAGACAACAGGTTTAGATAATTCTTTTTCTTGTTGGTGTTGATGAATCATGATTGAGCAGCGAGAAACATAATTTTTGATTTACCCAAAAAATATTATCTGTTTAAAATCCATGATATCTTGGTTATTTTGTTTCTTTGGCAGTAATGCTGAGAGAGTTCGCGAATTTATCAAAAATGTGTATGTGCAAAAGAAATATGCTGGAGCAAGCGTTACAGACAAGCCTCCTAAAGATAGTCAGGCAAGATAATCTAGTTTCTTATATGGCATTTTGCTAAATGTTAATACTTTTTAAGTTTCTGACCTAACAATATTGTGGCTTTTAAAATTACCATTTTTGCTGATACTTGTTATTTCTTCTGAGTTGCTCAAAATTCAACCATGAGCATGCATGCATTGAATATTTATTTTTTGCCTTTTGCTGTAATGTAATTGACAGAACCATGGTAGTTCTGAAGATGTGACTCGACGGGCCAACTCATATCATTCTTACTCCCAAAGCCCTCCTTACGATTACCAGTATGAAGAGCGCCGTTATGGAAAAATACCCTTCGGATTGACCGGCAAGTCTGCTTCAGTAAAAGGTCTTCATTCAAAAGCCTCTAGTTTTGTTTACAGCCCTGGACGCTTTAGTGATCATACGTTTGAAGACCAATTTGCAAATGAGGGCTCTGCTCCAAGGGCTTCAGATTTTTCTGTGTTAAGTGGAGGAGATCCTTTCAGGTCTGGAATACAATCCCCAAATTTCCAGCAGGAAGCTGGATTTCGTAGTCCCCAGTTTCAGCATTCAAATGCCCTTCCAAGTGAAAACTTTCCAGGCAGGCAACATCAGGTAATAATAACCCACCTCCTCTAAAATGCTTGTTTGTATCTGGGTAGGGTTATTTTGTTACTATTGAAAATCATCCCTCTGGCGGAAAAAGCGAGTTTCCTGATGTTCCAACTTCTCAATCTTTCTTTTATGGAATTCAATTTCTGCGTTCAGAGAACTACATCTTCGGGGAGTGTCAGATCGGTTGACAGTAATTCCACGTCTATCAAGTCATATACCTCAAGTAGTTTAGGGGAAGGCATATCTCAAAATACAGGAAGCCAGCAAGATAAAACATCTACTCCTGTTCTTTCAGTAGCAGAGTCGACAAACGCTCCTATTGATTTGTTTCAGTTGCCAGGAGCGCCAACGGCTCAATCAGTCAATACATTTCAACCTTCAACAGGAGCCCGATCTCCACCTGTGAATTTTCATCAACCTCCACAGGCATACTCACCCACCCCGACAGATTTATTTGCTGGAAATTCAAGTCAACAACCCACTTCAAGACCACCAGACTTCTCTGCGCCTAAGAATGAAGGATGGGCTTCTTTTGACAATCCCATGCCTGCTGCAAAATCTACAAACGTTATCACCTCCTCTGGAGTTCCCGAGTTGGAAGTGAAAAATGAAGGAATCCCGCAGCCTAGCATAAGTATGCAATGGCCACCTTATCCATCATTTGTGGACCAACATGCTTTGTCTGTAACAAGTCCTTGGCAGGATGATCTCTCAAATGTTTTTAAAAATGTTGCTGATAACCAGGTTAGTCTTTACCTTTTATTCTGTCTTTTCAATTACATCAGTGCGGGTGCAGCATGAGAAAACAAAAGAAAAATGCTCCTTTCATGGACATATCTCATCCTAGACATTGCATTGACGATGATACTTCTTTCAAATATGAAAACTGTGATGATCCCATCCATCTTGGGCTGGCGGAACTGGCTGGCCTCATGTTGTCTGAATATTGTTAGGGAAATTGTATCTGACAAACAAATACTGTAACTACTTGTCTGAAATAACTGCTTGATTCCAAAATCAAAGATTAGCATTCATACAAGGGATGTGATGAGCTAACTCCTACTTGACCTTTTTTTAGCAGCCATGGAATGCCTTTCCGGACTCTATCGCGGCCAATCCTTTGGACAGTACTAAGCATATTCTCCAACATGGAGCAAGTACTTCGTCATCTAACATTGATCAACAGCATTTTGAACCACAAGTTATAGAGGTTGTTGCATTTTCCCTTATCCTGCCTGTATATTGTGGATGAATTTCTCCGTTGATTCCTCTCTGATGATATCATGCCACAGGAATTAAGCAATGATGGCACCCAAATACCAGCTGGCTCTTTGAGTTTTGGTTTTCCAGGGAACATTGTTATGGCACCAGCATACTCCCCTCATATGGTTCCAGTTATGCTTTGCAATTTTCTCTTTAATGCTTATCGATCACCCTTCTTCAAACTTGCTTACCAGTTATTTAGTCTCTGATTGATCAAAATCTTCATTCGCAGGAAGATGCCTGGCAGCGCGTAAACGAACAAAAGTCTGCTAATCCATTTGATCTCCCTTATGATTCTGAGTTCGACTCAAGTGACATGGTATGTAGAACCCTGTTCGGGCATATGTTTCATAATTAAGTCAGATCTCACACCATCATTTGTATGCAATGTTGTAATGTTGTTTGAATCTAGAGAATCTAAGCTGGGTGACGACTTCAAATCTTGTTCAGAGGGATTATCATGTTCTTCTTCTAGAAGCCTTTAAACTCTATTATTAACTTTGTTGTGGTTGTATTTAATGTCAGTTCTTGGACATGAGTCCGTTACAAGGGGCTCTGCCCGATATCCAGACACCACCAACCTTCCTTAATGGTGTATCACAACCATGGCTCGCTGCAGATTCTGTACCCTCTTACCTACCTACTCCTGCAGGAGCACAAGGTGATATTGATCTTTCTGTTTATTAGACATCTCACTATGTTGCTTGAAATAACAATACTTCACCCCCTTCAAAGTATAGATTTAAGAAATTGCTTCTATCACGTCAAGTTCGAGTTGAAAGTATTCCCACGAGGGGGAAAATAACATTTATGGTTGTGCAGACTACATATAACATATAGCTTTAAAGTTTCACTTGAAAAAACTCTCTGACTGACTATTGGAAACTCGTCCTTGTAACCTTATAATGCCCGGTAGGTTATCTAATTCCTTGAAAAAACTGCTGCAGGTGGCTTAGCATGCATGGCAGGGCAAGCAACAACGTCTCAACTACAGTAAGTTTCGCAATTTGGTAGTATAATCTTTAATTGATGACGTTAATGGCTATAAAGAGTTGTATCGACTCGGTGATGCTAGTAAAGAATCCAAGAAATGCTCTGTTGATTTGTTCCTTAATGTGATAAGATGCTTTGAATTAAATTTTTGTCTTATCGCGTAAACATGGATGTAGGAATTCAGCAGCACAAGGCCCTGTTGCATCTAGTGGAGGCAATCCATTTGCTTAGAAACTCCTCCATCTGCTTCATCATCTTCAATGCATTCTATGTTTTTGTAAGAAGAAGCCAATCTTATTGTGCATTGTGTTCATTTCTTTGTTTGGAATCAACTAGAGATGTATGTACTTTTGATTTTTTTGAGTGTATTTTGCGAGTAGACTTGACTACCATGATTAAGTCGACTCGACCAAGAAATGCCTCAAACATGCCCAACAAAAGCATGTTTTTCTATGTATAATCACTGTTCAAAGAAACTGAGTGTTCCAATTAAGGTCAAAGCAAGATGAGGCAAAAATAACAAACGAATCTAACAAATGCAACTCGAGTTGGCTTTGATGTCTTGTAATTCCTGAAACTCTCAGTGACCACCAAATGTAGAAGAGCAGTGTATATCTCTCTTCCATTGCAATATAGGTAAAAAACCTCACCGCCAATTCGCGGAGAAAGATCATAGTAAAAATTGGTTTGATTTAGTTTGTTTTTGAATAACTATTTTGTTTGTGTTTATTCATTGTCTCGTTAGTGACTTATCTTTGAGCATTGTGTTTATTTCCTTGTTGGGGAAAAACTTCAAGATCGACTTAGCCCTCCAAGCGATGTCCAGTCAAAAGATGATAACAAAAACTAAAATCTCTTAATTCTCTTATAGAACGTTTTCAGATATAAAAACAGTTTACATAAAAAGTAAGAAAATTGAGATACACATAAGTGT